GGCTTCACAAAAGATGAGCAACTTTTTGTTATATCCTCTAATTATTTATAGGTACCAACACCTCTAAAATATGATAACAGTTAATAATTCTTCGAGATGTATAGTATCTAGGTGCTCCTCTCCAATACCTTTCCTTTATAAAAATCATACAATTTCTGTCATCAAACATAAACTAAACAGCAGCAACACCACCATGGAGATAAGATGAAGCTAGAGTATTTCCTTGGTATCATCTTCCTTCAGCCAAAATCTCAAGAGTTACTCTTAGGGCTTCCCATTTTGCTTGTCCAATCAGTCTGTTACCTACTCTCCTACTGATTCTGATTCTCCTGTCTAGGTGCACAGATATTACTGTCAGCAAGTTCTCATCATTCCCCACCTGGTCTACTAGAATCCCAAACTGTTCAGTCTGTACCCCAGGTGAGACATCTTCCTTTTTTACATCTTCACATTGTTTTCGTTTTTGTTTTAATTTATTTTACATTAATTCACTGTATATCATTACAGCATACAAAATGAATTTTCCCATCCAGAATACACTGAATATTGGCCCAATTAAAGACATTACCATACCTATTATCTTCAACAGATAATTTTCCATTTTGTGTTACTTCTTTCTTTTTTCCCCTTGACCCCTCCCCCCACACACACACACACGGACTCTGGTGTCCACAGTTGCTCTCCATACTTTCACACTGTCCAATATTTCAGTTTCTTCCAGAGTGCAGACATTCAGTATATATTAAGTGGGGACACACAATGCCTCTTTTTCTTAGTCAGATTTGCTTTACTTAAGAGTAAGTCTTCCCTATTTGTCTACTTTCTATCAAATGTTAGGATCTTATTATTTTTTTATGGCTGAGTAGTATTCTGTTAGGAAACAGCAAAAATGCCATGCTTCTAGAATACCTTGGATTTATAAACTCTGACTGAATGACTCCAGGGGAAATGGCAAAAATGACTAACCTCTTGCTTTCCTGCTGGAAAATGACAGAAGGTCATTAGAGAGGTGTGTAATCTGATGAATGTGTTCTCCAAATTCCAAGGTGTGCTGTCCAGCTTCTGGCATCATTTAGCCATTTACTTATGGCTACTGAAACCACCCTGCTACAGGAATTACTCTTATCTTTTTAATCCTTTAGGAAGTAGCTTTCTCTAAAAATAACTTTCCTTCCTCTTTTGCCTAATAAATATGGAGGACGAGAGAGACTTAGCAAGTGCATCCCTGGTATGGCCTCTCCCTATCACTCTTGACTCAAGCCTCTGTGTCTGGAGTATTACTTCCATGCGCACTTCAGGTGACTCTCTGTTGGGCAGATAAGTCACAGTATTCTATAGTGTATATATGCCACACTTTTTCAATCCATTTGTCTGTTCATGGACATTTGGGTTGGTTCCATGTCTTAGCAATTGTGAATAATGCGGCACTAAACATGGATGTGCAAGTGTTTTTCTGACTGAGTGTATTCCTATCCTTTGGTTAAATGCACTTCCTTGGATGGTGCCCAGGACGAAATCTCTGTACATTCAACTGTGCTCTGTGCTAAGAGACTTTTTAAGCTCTAATACTGTATAGGACATCTTTTAAATGAAGAACTAAACATTCAAAATGGTTTACTATTTGTTCCATGATCATTAACCTCAATGACATCACAAATGTTGCTTGAAAGAGCAGCTTAATCAAGGACTCAGAGTATAGCTAGTGGGCTGTCCTTAGATTAATTATGTTGAATTGCCTAATTTCTTACCTATTTCCTCTAAATTTTTAATCCTAAATTACAGTAAAAAATTAGGAAAGAACTATTTAAAGGCCTTATATTTTCATACCCATTTACCAAAAAGAAAATTAACAGTTATTTAGAATCTTGACCTCTGAATTATTTTTACTACAGTAATATTTCTAATTTTAGAGAGCCCACTCTAAACCTAAGAACTAGGAGTGCTCTGTTTCCCAAACACATGAAAAGGAAGAAAAGGCCACTTTAAATAGTTATTTAAGATAGTGGTTACATACAGTTTTATTCTCTTTATCAATAGGTTAGGTTCAAAGCTAAACCTTTTTTCCCTGCACAGGAAAGAAGACATCTGCTGCAGTCCTGGGTCACCCATGCCCTGTCCCACAGGTCTAGATATACATTTAGGTCAGAAAGGAAAGAAGTCAGAGGAAGACAGATAAAAATGGCAGAAAGGAAAGAGAGGGTCCCTAGAACTGCAAGATACCTGGAGGGAGTGAAGGAGTATCTACCCCATTGCAGACAGCCTTGGTTGCTGTAATAACACCGATTGTCTCAGTAAAGACATTTAGACTTATTAATTCTGCATGAGACACTTCTGTTAGCACTGGTATTTTGAAGGATTTTCAAGTTAAGTTTGAATGCAGGTCAGTGTGTGGGTAAATTTGTGGGGAATGAAGGTGGTGGGGCAAGGGGCATGGAGTTAGCAAATAAATATGTTTCAGCTGTATGCTCTAATTTTACATATTTAAGAAATATAAACCTTTACACACATAATATGTGTTTGGATTCATGAATTCATGAGAAAAAGAATACATAAGGAAACAAACAGAAACTCATGGAAATTTCTTATTATAAAAGTAGCAATACCATTGTATTTCCAGTCTCATAACTTATGTTTTGTAATCTATTTTCTACACTTAATAGTAGCTTTTAGAAGTAATTGTAGGATACCTAAGATTTCTAGACTTGCTCAACCAACTTGAAAGAATTTGCTATAAAAATTATAAGACAATAGGGGATCATAAGGCGGCAGCAGTAAAACACAATGCTCTGTAAAACTGACCCACACAGGAAAGTGGCCAGTTCACTTCTGGAGACCTTCCTGAGTATACTGGGCATGCATATGCTTATAATTTGGGCTGGCTGAAACCAAGGGCAGATAAGGACATCAAGATCCTGCCGAGAGTGTATCTCTGTCACTGTGTCTTTCTCTCTGTCTCTCTTGTTCATAGAATAAACTTAAAAAAAAAAAAAAAAACCCTGTGGGGGCCAGCAAGTGGTGCAGTGGTTAAGGCACTGGACTCCTGCATGGCCGACCATGGTTCAAGAACTGGACCTGGTGGCTTGAAAATCACATGTGCATGTGCATGAGTACCCAAAAATCTCGAGAAGAGAATGTGGCCATCCCCTGTGGAGGATAATTTCCCATTTTCTTTCTCACACTCTCTTTCTGGCAAGCACATGTGTCCTGTGGCAAAAACCTTTATAAACAAAACAAAACAAACCTGTAAAACAATAAAAAATTACCTAGAAAATTCATAACTGATATTACCATACACACCATCAACAACGGATAATTTCCCTGTTGTGTGCCCATTAAATGTTTTGCTTTCCCCTCCTTGATTCCTTCCCTCTTACCCCCTATTGTCCACCCTCTCTCCACACTATCTTTAGTATCCACAGATGCTCTCCTACTTTTATACCTTCCATTCTTTCAGTTTCTGCCATAAAATACAGACATTCAGTAAATATTAAGCGGGGATATACAATGCCTCTCCTTCATAGTCTGGGTTACTTCACTAAGCTTTAAATCTGCCCTATCTGTCCACTTTCTATGAAATGCCAGGGTCTCATTGGTTTTTATGGCTGAGTAGTTTTCCATAGAGTACATGCCACATCTTTTCAATCCATTCATCCGTTCTTGGACATTTTGGTTGACTCCATGTCTTAGCAATTATGATTTATGATGCAATGAACATGGATATGCAAGTGTTTCCTATTCTTTGGGTAGATGCCCAGGAGTGGAACTGCTGGATCTTACAAAAGTTCTATTTATCCTTGACTGAACTAATATGCAGTATATTCATGATAGGAAAGTTCATTTTGTATGCTGTAAAGATGTACAGTAATCAAATGTAAAAAATAAGAAAAATAAAGTACATCCCCTGAAAAGAAAATTCATAACTGTGTAATATTAAGCAACACACAAATAGCACAATTACCAATCAAAACTTATAAATAAATTTTATAGCCATCAATATTAAATAAAACCTAGACTGTCAGAAAAATGCCACAATATAAGTTCAACAAACATTATGCATCATCTTCACTATAACTAAAATATAAATTAGTGCTTCAAATACTGCAAAAATCAGTCTAACAAACTTCTGTCTGAAAAACAAATGATCCATCCCACACACAAAGTTGATAATTATGTTAATGCCGAGTAAGGAAATACAATAAAATTAATAACTACACCCATAATACTTCAAAGGAAGAAGTCTCAAGATCTTCCTAATCTTCCAAATTCTCACACTCCATTGTGGTAGACATTACTGGTTACTATACTGGAGACATCTACCCTGCCTCTGCATTCACACAATCTCTGATTTTTATTCTGGACACATGGCTGCACAGAGAGATCACAACACCTAGTCTCTCCTGCACCTAGGGCTCTAGCTGATGAGCTGTGGTCAGACTTGATCTGTGTAACTTTCAATTTGTGCCATTACAGAGTAGAGTTGTATCTCTCTTATCCTGAGTGGATGCAAATGTGGAAGGTAAAACACCCCCTTAGACAAGGCAGACGAGATTATACTCTCAGGATGACAGAGTAACAAGACAGAGTATCACTCAGCCCCCTGATGACATTTCAGAGCAGTCACTACCAATTCAAACTTTTGAGAGCAAAAAAAAATTTCGCCTTGTGTAATTTACTATTATTACAATTCTGACATATGCCAGTAAACCTGCATGTTTTAATTTCCTCAGCTTCCTCAGCTTTAATGTGGGGTTAATAACATTACCTATCTCTCAGACTATTGTGAGAATTAAAATATTTTAAATAAAGAAAAGAAAGCAGCACCTGTGTGTGGATATCAGGTGATCTACCAGGCTTGTTCTCCAGTTAAATAACTTGTTTCCTAAAACCAGCCCTCTGCGTGAACAATTTTCAGACAAATCACAAGTTACATAGAGCTTTGTGATGAATAGAGAAGGCCCTTAAGCTGGCAAATGATGTGCTGCTACTTGGCTGTAACTTACATGTTGTGACTGATGTTACACTGGCTGTCTTCTCTTTCAAGTTCCTGACTACAGGATTCACATCTTTTCCAGCCATCTTCTGTTTTAATCCAACTCCATCCAGGAGATCTCCAGTCTTGACCCAAAAATGGCATAGTTCTCCTATAAAAAAGTTAGTTTATGTTAAAAATATATGTATAATTAACAAAAGTTCCTTTTCATCTAGAACATTTACTTATTGATTTTAAAGATTAAAGGTCTACTTAAACATTTAAATGTCTGCCTACTGCTTACATGTTGGCTGGACACTGGTGATAAAATAGTGATGATAACATAGTATTACGTCAGTTTACTGAAGTGATAAGATGGGGAAAGCACAGGTGGGTTTACCAGCCCAATGTTCCAAATATTGTGAAAGGTTTACCAGAGGTGACATCTAAGATCAAGGAAAAGCAGGAGTCAGGGAGCAGGAAGGAATACAAAATATTATTCCACACAGACAACATTCTATTTGCCAGAAGTTAGAAGTAACTAAACATGTTCAACTCTAAGCAGTTCCATTCGGTTGAGGCTTAGAAGAGAAGAAAGGGGAAGCTAGAACAAAGAAGCCTTTCAAGGCCAGAGCAAGTCAAAGGAACTGGACTTTATTTTGAGGGCAATGAGGAGAAAAGAAAGGGATCTAAGTAGGTTTGGATTTGAGCCTTATGGAGAATGCAGGATTACACGGTAGAGAATGGATGGGATGAAGGACACTTGGAAGAGGACTGGAAGTTACTGAATGTTGGTCTTTAAAAGGTGAGGGAATGGGCCAGCAGGTGGTGTAAAAATAAAGGTGCTGGATCCTACATGGCCGGCTGCACGGTTGAGTCCCAAACCCAGTGGCTTGAGAATCATGCTGGGCACATATGCATGCATGCCAAAAATCCCAAGAAACTAGAAGAGAAGGGACTGTGTTATGGTCATCTCCCTGGGGGACTCTGTCTCTCTCTGTGAGTGTACATGACCTATAACAAAAGCTAAAAAACAAAACAAAAACAAAATATTGACACCATGGTGGCAAGAGGTATGGAGAGAAGAGCAAGGACTAAAGAAACATTTAGGAGAGTTACAGAGTACTTGAAGGTTGACTGGATAGGTAAAGAAGAATGAACATCACGTTTTTGCTTGGGGAGGGGAGGTAAGAGGTGTTGATTTCAGTTTTGGACATTCTTGTTAAGTCTGACAAATTACACTCAGAACATAAACATTATGACTTAAAAATCACACAACAGACATTACTTTCACGAAGCTTACAATCTGATGAAAGCAAGACTTAGAACACTAGCTTTTCCCATTGGTTGGAAACCAGAATTCCCTTCTTCCTGATCAGTTTTCAAATACTTCTGTGAATTGACATCACAGTTTGGAAAGCTTTTAAAAACCAGCGCTGGGACCAGCAGATGGTGTAATGGTTACGTCTCAGATCCAGTGGCTTGAAACTCACATCAGACATGTGTGCCTTCATGCCTCAAATACCAAAAGGAGAATGGAGAAGGGACTGTGGCATGGCCAGCCCCCCTGGGGGGGAGAGGATTTCTCGCTTTCTGTCTTTCTCTCTCTGTGTCTCTCCAGAGAGCAAAAGCACCCTATAGCAAAAATCTCTCTTAAAAAAAAAATACCAATGCTTAGTCCCATCTCAGACCAATAAAATATAAATATTTGAGGGTGATGGCTAAGCATAAGAATTTGTTAAAGGTCTACTGGTGATTCTCAGAAACACAAAGGGTTAAGAACTGCCTCAGACATTTACCTTGCTGATAAAAATGTTACCTCCCCAAAAAGGCTTTCCTAACCAGCTATCCAAACAGCTCCCTTCTGCTGCTTCTATTCCCAAACCCATCAATCTGCCATAATCAGGTGTCTTTATAGTAGTAAGAGCTGTCTGAAGTTATTTATGTCTTTACCAACTGCTTTCCTCCAAGATAATGCAATGTCTTCAGTTCTGTATCCCAATTACCTTTAACAATGCCAGGCACACAATAGGAGCCCAATAAATATTTATTTATTGAATGAATGAAGACATAAATCCATGGCTCAGAAAGAGGTAAACTTGAAAGAAATATAGGAAAATCCCCCAGCATTTAGATAGTACTCAAATCCATGGAAATAACATCACAGAGTATGCAGAGTAGAAACCAAAAGAGATAAGGGTGGGGGGGGATGCAAGGAACATCAAAATTTAAGGAATAAACGAAGATAAGCCAAGAAAGGAAACTGAAAAGGAAGAGTCAAAGAGGTAAAGGGAAAGTAGGACATCAAGAAAATAATGTATTTTAAGAAATAAATGCCAGAAAAATGTTATAAAGAAGCCAAGCATGGGGCGGGCCCTGCAGTACAGTATTTAAACGCTGCATTGGGAGCTGGATCCCACATGGCCAACACAGTTTGAGTTGCAGCCCTGAAGACTTGAAAAACTTGCTGGGCAGGGGGGTATGCATGCCCAAAATCCTGACAGAAAAGAAAAATGAAGAAAAGAGAATTGTGGTATGACCACGCACCATTGAGGGTAACTTTTCTTTCTCTCTGGCTCCCTCTGGCAATGTGTACACACCATCTGGTGATAAAAAGAGAGGGGAAGAAAAGGAACAGTAGAGAGTTGAAAGGCACACTCTGAATTTAGCACAAAAAGTTAGCTGATGACACTAGCAAAAATAGTTTCAGTAATGTATTATATTAATCTCACTTCCAAAGTAGACTTGACATATTTCACAATGTAGAAAATTTACTTCACAGAGTACAGAAGATGAGAGTGTGTGGACACCATCTGTCAACTGCCCATTGAGAACCCTTTTTCTGAAGCATTTGGGACCAGAAGTGTTCTGGATTTTGCAAGAGTTACATATATATAAAGAGATATCCTGGAAATGGGACATGGGCCTAAGCCTAAACATGAAATTCATTTGTTTCATATACACTTTCTACACATAGTCTGGAGGTAATTTTACAGGATATTTTTATATTGTGGCATTTTGACCACAACCTGTCCCATGAGGTCAAGGGTCCACCTGTGGCGTCACATCAGCACTCAAAATGTTTCAGATTTTGGAACATTTTGGATTTCTGATCTTCGGATTAGTGATTGTCAACCTGTATACTTAGTATAAATAATAAAAAGCAAGCTATTGGGGCCAGCAGGTGGTATGGCAGTTAAGGCGCTAGATTCCACATGACCAACTTTATGGTTGAGTCCCAGACCTAGCAGCTTGAGAATCACACCAGGCGTGTGTGTGTGTGTGTATGTGTGTGTGTGCATGCCCAAAATCCCAAGAGGAAAATGGAGTAGGGGTTACAGCATGGTCATCCCCTCTGGTGGGTGATTTCTCACTCACTCCCTCTCTCTCTGGTGAACACACACTCTACAGCAAAAGCTAAAAAAAGAGGCAAGCTGTAAAGTGGATAGTTATACTGTCTTAAAAGAGACCCAAAGGGGGCCAGCAGTTGGTGCAATGGCTATGTCACTGGACTCCCATGTAGTCGACCACGGTTCTAGTCCCAGACCTGGTGGCTTAAACTCACGCCGGGCACATGTGCTTGTGTGCCCAAGATCCTGAGAGGAGAATGAAAGAGAAGGGATTGCTGCATGGCCATTTCCCCCCGGAGGTGATTTTTCACTTTCTGTCTCTCTGTCTCTCTCTGTCTTTTGGGTGAGCGCATGCACCCTATAGCAAAAAACTCTCCAAAAAAAAGACCCCAAAATTTATAGTCAGAACATATCTTTTCTCAGTCACATATTGATTACATTTTCCTTTAGATGATACTTTAAAAATAGTCCTTCAGTCTCAGCATTATTTTGATAAGCTTTGTCTTACAGACCTGCTCCACAACTACTTATCATGCTAAAATAAAAAGGTACCACCTATGTCCTATCAATCCAGAGTTAAATAAGACTGTCTCCAGTAGTATGCACCTGATTTTCAAGGACATTCAGAGAGAAGCCAGAGGATATTCTGACAAAAGGCAGCCCTGAAGCTGCAGATGACTGTTTTTAATGGCAACTTCAGTCAAAAAACACATACAACAGAAAAATGACTATTAGGACCACGTCGGATCATTGTCAAAGTATCTCTCAACATCATATTAAAACTGTAGATTCAGAAGTCTGTGTTTTAAAAAAGTCAAATAATAATCCACAAAATATTGCTTACCAAAAACAGAACTACTATAATAGCAAACATTTTGCACACTGATGTTATGGTAGGTGTCCCTGCCCTCATGGGTATACCACGTAGCTGAGGAACTCAAAAAAAAAAAAAAGAATGAAAGAAAAGCAAAAGAATACACACCAAAAAATTCTGTACACATATAACAAAGTGTTCATGTGGACTAACATGAGTGCACACATAAACATAACAAAAAAAGCCATTGGGGAAAAAAGAAAGTTGTCATTTAAAAGGCCTGGGTCTTGAGCTTTCAGAAATACTCCCAATTAAGAGGCAGCTCATTTTGTAAATTAGAAAACACTGTTACTAAAATTTTAGCAGATTTTGACCCATCACTTTTAATGGGAATTTATTTACATATTCAGCTAAAAAAAAACATATTTATAACAGGAGGTTATAAATTAAAATTACCTTTGTTTTGGGAACTTACAAATACAAAAGTAAAAACTAGAAATTACTCCTGAAAGTTATGAAATGTGTAAGAGCAACCACTCAAATGATATCAACTCTGTGGTGATACATCGTGCATAATTTGAGACTTTTAAGTACATCTCATGCCAAGTTATGTCAGAGAACATATGAGGCTGAACTATTTTAAAAACTTCCCTTAATCTGTATTTTCCAAGGCAAGACAGGAGGGTGGAGTTATGCAGGAGAATGGGACTTCATGAAGTTCATCTGCAGTGGAAACTCAGGGCATCAGAGAATCAGAACCAACCAAGAAATGCCCTTCCCTCAACAAGCATACTTTTTCTTAACTATTGAAAACAATAATGGCAAACATTTAATAGAGCATAGTATGGGCTAAGCAGTATTCTAAATAAGCTCCATTTACTATCTCCTGTAGTCCCCACTCTACCCTGCCTCTGCAAGATAGGAAATGTTATTATCCTCATTTAAAATCATTCTCTACTCTCTAATTGAGGCACAGAGGCAGTTTAGCGGAGGTGAAATTCAAAATGATGAAGACTCTCACTTCGAGATCCATGTTATTAACTGCTATATGTTTAAAACAGCAATTCCTGGGGCCAGCATTTGGCGTGGTTAGGGCTCTAGACTCCCAGATGGTCAACCACAGTTCAAGTCCCAGATGTGGTGGCTTTATACTCATGCTTGGCACATGTGAGTATGTGCCCAATAACCCGAGAGGAAAATGGAGAAGGGACTGTGGCGTGGCCATCTCCCAGAGAATGGGAAGGATTTCTCACCTTCTTTCTCTCTGTCTCTCTCTCCATCTCTGTCTCTCTCCTCCGAGTGCACGCACCCTTTGGCAAAAAGTCTTTTAAAAAACAGCAATTCCTAAACACTCTATTAAATACTATAAAACTACAAAGGTTTTGTTCTGTTTACATTTTTTACTTTCTACTATTGATATATATACCACCAATATGTTCTAAAGTAAAGATGGATAGAAACGTAAAAGCACTAAAACAGGAAACAAAACTCTTAACACATATTAAAAGACTACAGGTGTTTACTCATTGTTTTTAAGTTAGATGAAAAGGAAATGGAATAACCAATACAGCAGTTATTAAGTTGATCTTCCAAAACAATAAAAACTGTAAGTGTTAAGCAAAGCTGCAGCTACACATAACATAAAAAGGAAACGAGTTGCGGGGCAGTTTCATATACAGAGAAAAAAGCTGGCAAAGGAATTTACTTCCTCCTTCTCTCTTACATTTCAGTACAAATGTTGAGAAAATAATTTTCATTGTTCTGGGATAGGGGAGAATAATCTTCAGCTGATAAGCATTTGATTTTGCTTTCTTGCTCCCTTTTCCTTACAATATTTCAAAATAACTTAAGGTCAAACAATTTAGGGTCAAATGTTAAGCGACTTTAAGTGTGGACACACTTGGTCAAACACGGAATACTGAGGGCTGAGAATACAAAGCAGGATGTTCCCTAAGGCCTGAGAAAAATCACAGACGCTTCGTGGAAAAGGAAAATACATGCAAAGGAGAGGAGAACTTGATATATGGAAAAGGGAAATATTTATCTTTTCTAAGTAGAACTGGATGTAAGGCTGTAGACGAGACAAGAAAAGAGGAAGCTTCACAGGGAAAGAAGCATTCTCTAGACTCCTGAGTTTTCAAAATGAGTTTGAATAGGCCCAGGAACAGAGATGGAATCTAATTGGAAGAAATGTCAAAATGTTCCTACTGGGATGAAAAGGAGGCAAAATTCACAAGTGTCAGCTACTAGAAAAATAAGCAAGGAAAGCAACCGAAGGGAGGAGACGGAGACGGCGCTAGAGTCACAACGACGAGTAGAGACAGTGGCCTGGAAGACTGCGATCGTACCCGGGCAGGTGTCCACCGGGGAAAGGCGTGCAAGAACAGGCGGCGGACGAGAACTAGAGGCCAGGACCGAGAGGCCGCAGGGTCGGAGACAGGAGTCCCCCAACACCCTCGAGGGAAGCGGGGCGGGCGTAGGCCCTGATGCAAGCACAGGCGGGCGGGAGAAGGCCCAGGAGGGCGGCTGCTAGGCGGAGTCGCGGCAGGTGGGCGGGGAGCGCGCCGGCTGAGCAGAGGCAGAGCGCTGTACCAGCCGACTGCCCCGCGCCCACCGGGCACGCAAAGGGCCTCGTGCCCACCTGGCCCCCGCCGGCCCCGTCCCCACCTGGCGAT